CTGCATTCTCCATAGGTGAAGCAAAAAATCTTCATGGCCTAGAATTTGTATTTAACTTTCTGACCCGCCACTCTGTAACATGATTCATAATCCATTTTGATAAAACATAAAAAATTTTGTGTATTCTTCAATTTTAAGAATTTATATGTATATACAGGAGGATTATTTCCTACTATTAGTCAGAAATAGTTAGAGAGCACATGTCATATATTTATCAAGCCCACAATTCTAACAAAGGTTCAATAAAATTATACTTCCCAATTAAAAGAACATAACTCGGTCCACAACAATAAACCTCGAAAAAACATATCAAGCCCTGGAACTATTCTTTTTGAAAGACAAGACCTGGAACTATAATGAGTATGAGACATTTGATATTGAAGTATAAAAGCAGACTCCTTTTAGTTTTGTTATCAATAAGCATGAACATTATCAATGTTGAGACCAACCAGGGTTATATTATTACTAGCATGACTCATCCAACTAGGGTTCGATTCTCACCCTATTAAAAATGCTAGGGCGAGCGCCTCTGCTTCATCGATTTTATTATTATTAGTACTATTAGCATGGTGCAAATAGTGCCATTCTCTTGATCAAGTTAGGGCATCCTCAATAGTATGAGATAGCAGCTAGCTCATACATGCCATGTCATTGCCACACTTCATTATGTAAACCCACATGTAAATGATTTTTTATTCTATATCTTCTCTCCTCCCTCTGCCATTCTTTATGAGCAGGCCCACAAACTACCTGGTTTTCTGAGCGAGATAGGTGTTAAGATAAGAGATAGTCTTTTATTTTTTCCATCTTCTCTCTCTTCCGCATAAGAAAAGTGCTAACATGGATTTCTATGAGCTAGCTGCAGTGGCATTGTTGGGATGCAAAAATAAGCCCTTGGTTCATTTGTTTTTGGGTCTCTGGATTTGGCAAATAGTGTCTAAACATTGACTAATTAGGCTTAAAAAATTTCCCACCAAACTTCAATTAGTTTTCGAAAATAAAATGCTCCATGCTCGTAAAATAGCATCATTTGATTGGGTAGTAGTTTGACCTTCTCGACTTTAAGTAGTTGACCACTCTCTGGTAAATAAAAGAAGTTGACTGAACATAGCATTCAGTGTCGTGTGAAATTGAGAGTAGTCCTCATCAATGCTACCGATAACAACAAAACGTGCAAGCACATTCCAAAGTAGTAATATTATTGTTTAGTGCAATAATGATTTGTGACGTTTTAGCAGAACATACATGAACACAGGCATTGCTTACATTGTTAGTGAATTTATAACTGCTTCATTCTTCACTAATACTGTATACCATATTACCGTATATTGTGTTGCCAGCATAATTAAATATCAACTGCCATTGCATTATCATTCTATAAAATATTGATGCATCTTCATGGAACTTGAGTTCTTATTATGTGTGTTTCTAGTGCACATGGAGTTTGAACCTCATGTAATACCACATCTAATAACTACTACAGTTCTTAGAAAAATAAAATCAGAAGAACTCCGAATTAGTTGTGCTTTTCCAGTTCTAGTGAAACTAAAATGGACATTCTAGAACTGGATCTTTCTTATAATAAGCTACTAAGCATAGCAAAAATTTCATCCTCGCTTTTCCAAGAAAGTCAAACCCTAAAGGAACTGTTTGGAAAGGGGGATCGAGATGTAATAACATTAGAATTTAGAATTTAATTAAATTTTGAACTGAACCAAAAAAATCCTGGGGAAATTACCCTCTTCAAAACAAACCCTAAACATACATTTCTAATCCTTTAAGCATTGAGAAACTGATAAAATACAGATCTGTTGACAGAGTAATAAAAATATTTGTCGTTGATATATAATAACCAAAAGTGCAATAGTGATGGTGTGCGGTTTTAGTGGATCCGTGCATTCACAGTCAAGTTGAGCTAGCTCTCTTGTGTGTTGCTTAAGTGGCCATTTGTACTAAATCTGACATATAAACAAATATAAAGGAACTAGATTTTTTTTTTGTTAAGAAAGTTATGTTAGTGGTGCAAAGGAAGTGAAAGCAGAAAGACGATGGATCCCAGTGATTCTTCAAAAGAACAATTTTTTCCACTGCAAAAAATGAAACAATCTAATCTAAAAAAATGGTGCAATATTCACATTACATTAGTTTGCTAGTGAAAATCAGCAGTCTAAAACTGTGTCAGAAAAAGAGGCATATCCATGTAAATGTCATACGTTCAAAAACAAAATGTAAATATCACTTTATTCTTGCTAAAAGAAATATGAGACAAGAATCATGCATCTTTACTGAAATCTGAATCCTAGCTATCATTAGACGACATATTTTCTAAGCATGCCAATTTTGCAGTTGCCATACACAGATTAACAAGGAACTCATCACTATTTTTCAGGAACTCATCACATCCATCCCAAATTAAGGCCAAGCATTTTATTAGCGTGCTTCAAAGATTAATAAATATGGGGGAATGTAACACCCGCATAGTGCCAATGCCAACCACAATTTCCAAGACCAAGGGAATGAGAGGGAAATGAGAAAAAAGAAACTCTTTGACTCACAAAATATATAATACTATACCAATTTCAAAGGTACGGTTCTTTCTGTAGGTGAATCAAGCAAATACCTTAGCATCCTCGAGCATGCTTGGCAGTAGCCATGCGTTACCCGCAGCATGATTGGCTGCAAGCAGTGGACATCTACTACCCGTTGGTCACAAAGGAGTGCATAAGCCAGGGTCTCAGCTTTTACCCAGCAGGCCAAAGCCAACCCTAGTACCCTACCGTACGTAGAGTACCATTTACTATTCTGACCAGCACCAGCTTGCAAGTCCAGCTTTCTCCCCCCTTGTAGTCCCCCGATGCATCACTGGCAAGGAACTGGCCATGCCATTCCATTGGTTCCGATCTTGTTTCAAAAAAATGCCATTGGTTCCGATCCGTATATACAGAATTCGCATCACAAAAACACACAAATTTGGCATAGGTATTATTTCAGGGTCCTCCCATATGGTCACAAAGACCAAATATCTATGGTTTCGTCGAGCTTTGAGCAAACATTTCAGTTTTAGTCTGCATTTTCCTGCTAGGCTGCTAGCGCCTAGCAGAGGAAAATTGCACTCTTTTCCTTCTATAGTTAAAATTGGCACGAGATACTTTTATATCAAGTATGAAATTTAAATTGATACGATAATTTTAACTATATGGTCCTTTTGTATATGTACAAACATAATAGCAATACCATGTTGACTAATGCATCTAATAAGCTTCTTTTTTCCTTTAGATTTTACAATAATATAGATCAAATTTTGATCTTTCCCTGAAGTTGTTCAAGAAAAGTAATTTGGTTTCTTATAAAGTAGGGTTTTTTTTTCCTCTCAGGTTTATGGTTCAGTGAACACTATTTTTACTATTAACAGTAAGCATTCACTTCAAGATATCAGCACCCAATCATCATAATACTCAAATTTCTGTGAGGACATAACACATTGTTCTTTGAGTTTACAAGTCAAATGCATACAATCAGATGGAATGATTCCAATTTATCAAAGCTGTGATGAATCTACTCATTCGTTCATCGTTCATTCATGGCACTTATGAGTGCGTGCAACATAAGGATCGGATAGTGAAATTTAAAAAATAAGCACAAATGCCTAGGGAAATTTAATCTGCTATCACTGTTTTAAGGTTGCTTCTTTATTTTCAATTCTATGTTATCATTTCCTTCTGCATTACTTACCTCCTTTTATTTTCTGTGAGTCCTAATTAAAAACTGTACAGTACTGCTAGGTGGTGTCAGAGAGGCCGCAGAGCTCCCGTGATGGGCATATATCACTTTAGCATATGCAGCACAATGCACAGCGCACACATACATGGCCCTGACGAGACCAGAACCACCACACGCAGGGACAACAGTAACATGTACAGAAGACACACTGTATGACAGTATGAGAGAGAGAGAGACAGAGAGAGGATGGTGATGATGATGGAGGCACATGGGATGGAACCCTAACCCTAACATCATAGCACTGGCAGGAAATAGGCAACTAGATGCGTGATATCTTTTTACCTGATCTCAAATATTTACCTCTCTCGTTCACACTCACAATTTTGCATACAGTTACCGAGTTACTGCACGCGCGCACATCTAGTGACCCAAAGCTAAGAGAACGAAAAGAATTGCTAGATCTGCACCTGTATGACCAAAGCAACAAACAGGGAAGATGAGACCAGAGGGGAAAAAAGATGAGTTTTTTCTTCCTTCAAAAAAAGATGAGTTTTTTGTGTGTGTGTGAGAACATGCTTGCTATATATCATGAGGTATGAGAGATCTAAGCCTTCCCCCTCGATCTTTCTCCCTTCCTTTGTCTCTCTCTTTCTCAGGGACGATGGATCATAGAAGGGAAAGAAATAAATGGAGCTAGAAAAGAAGCGGACCACCAAGCCAAAGCAAAACGCAGGGCACCCATTGCACACACACAAGAAAAGCTCACCTCACAGGCACAGCATGTACATATGCTTCACAAAGCATACCCTGCGCTGAATCTATCTAGACATCTAGCTCACCTCACAGGAACACAAAAGAAACCGGAAAGGGAGCCACAAGCACACACAGCAGGATGACGGAACACACGCAAAGAAACCGTTGCAATTTCTTTCGCCCTTGCTACTGGATGGCCTCTCTCCGGTAGCATAAAAATAAGCAAGACAGTTAATGAACAGAAACATGTAGTAGCAAAGAAAATGCAGCTTCCCTCTTTGCAACAGGAAAGCTGGGAGCTAACTTGCTCCAATTCGGAAAACTTCATAAGAATAATTCAGGAATATGATACATCATGTGTCTAGACGGACAGGCTCGTCACTTATAGCCTCTCATTTCATGGATTATTATGATTTGTTAGGCGTATAATCTATCGTATGTGCATATATTCAGTGGAGTGCTACTACTGTGGTACTAGCAGCGCAGTACACAGAGATGGATGCACAGAACTGGAAAGAAGATGAGACCTGTTGTTGGAGTACTCATAGAGGCGGCCGCGGCTGGAGAAGACGATGAGCGCGACCTCGGCGTCGCAGAGCACGGAAAGCTCGTACGCCTTCTTGAGGAGGCCGTTGCGGCGCTTGCAGAAGGTGACCTGCCTGTTCGTCGTGTTCTCGATGCGCTTGATCTCAGTCTTGCCCTTGCCCCTGCCGTTGTTCCTCTCTGCAACCGACGCAGAGCCACCAGGGGACATCGGCTCCTTCAGCTTCAGCCCCGCCGAGGTCAGGGTCGACTGCACACAAACAAAAGCTACACACTCAAGAATTGCTAGGAGACGACACAAGGAGCTAGCGTGTGTAAGATGGATCGATGGATCTGCTGCAAATTCAGTAAGAGAATGAAGAAGAGCCGGAAAGAGCATGCATAGCAATCTTGAAAGAAATTAAAGAAGCCAATGCAAGAATAAGAAATCACCATGATGCCTGTCACTGTGGATGGCGTAGCCTGCTCCTCTCGGATGTACATGCTCTTTTTCTTATTAGCCGGCAGGAGACACGCAGATTTTGCTGTTTGAAGGAGGAAGGTTGGAGGAGGGGATGGGGATGAGAGGGGGTGGTGGTAGCTCTGGGCAGCTTCTGAGTTCTGAGTGTTTCTTGCTCCTGGACTCTTCCATTCCCCTCTACCTTCTTTATATCTTTGGTACCGGCATTTCCTTGCCTATCCTTTCGTATTAATTTAATTATACTTTTGCCATGACCTGCACATTTTAATTTTACGTAATTATTAATTTCGTCCGTCTGAAACGTGGGAATTGTACATGGTCTAGATGTAATAATTTTATTATTTATTTTCTGTTAAATTCTTTTTTTTAAGTCTTTGCTGTTAAATTCCTATGTGGATCTTCCACGGGGACTAACACTGAGGTTTTGCTTGGGAGCTACCTTTGGAAAAATATGGGAGTCGTATACTTTCCTCTTGCAGCTTGTCTAGGCTTTAGGGAAGTACAGATGCTAGAAAAGGAGGCTCTTGGTTACCTCAGTAACTCACTCATTTTTTTAGGAGTACGCTGCATTATTACCCTTATATTTGTTTCCTGGGAATTATAACAAAACTTGAGACAGCCACTATAAGCTTGTGACTTTGCATTCTAATTGTAATCTGGCTAAAATCTAGTAGGTTCGTCCTAAACGGCGGACCAATTCATGAAATTTTTTTCTTAGCGTGTATATTCCCTCTGGAGTCGCCTAGGGTTTTGTAGAGGTCAAATATTCTTAAGTTTGACTATATTTGTAGAAAAAATATTATCAACATTTATATCTTCAAACAAGTTTGTTAGAAAAACATATTAAACTATTAATCCTAATGGTACTTAGTATGAAGCTACCCTCCATTGTGACACTTAGATTTTTATCTCACTCCTAGAACTCTTTCTCCCGTTCGCCCCCACCGAGTGTCGACAAAATATCGTTGGCAGTCCACCGAGGGATATACCCACGATGGTAAATTATACGGAGAGGTGCGCGTGAACAGAAACTAGACGACAACATAGACACAAGATTAGACAGGTTCATGCCATCAGCTCGACGTAATACCCTAGTCCTGTGTTCTGTTGGTTTGTATTGGCTATCCGATATGATTGAATGTGTTTTGAGAGGGTCCCCTACCCGCCTTATATCCAGGAGGGTAGGGTTATAGGTAGGTTAGATCTTAGTCTAATCGGGTAAGAGATAATCTTTACAAGGAATCTAATATACAACATATCATAAGAGATCTTGCGCCATCTTCAGAATATCGCCTTGATGCCTTGCGGTGTGCGCCGAGCAGTGACGTGCTCCGCAAGTCATCATCTAGTGGGCTGGACCCATGTCTTGCGCCGTGGGTACTAGGGGTTGTACCCCCCACACCAATAGCCCCCCTCCACTGTCAATTTATCCGCTCTCTGGCCTTGCACCCTCAACTTCGTCCCCTCTAGCACCGCCCATGCCCAGACAAGGGGCGGCAAATTCGTAGGTGCGTTTGAATCTAGTGAGGGGGCACTGCAAGGATTACGTGAGCACCGTAGGGTTAACAACGGGGTCCACCTCTGGCCAGAGAGGAAGACGCCAAGGAGGGCACATATCTCACTCGTGGCCCATCCGTGTCGCTATCGAGTGCCCATATGGAGGACGACGATTTCGAGGCCGACTTCGAGGAGTTCACTATGGAATCCAAGAAGTCCAAGGCTCACGGTGGCGTGGATGGTGGTTGCGGTTACCCGCGCAGATCCCGACAATGCTCTGTATGCCATCACCATTGTATTCATTCCCATGTTGATCTCGGCAATGATCTTCAATCTCTCTTCCTCTTCGTCACTCTCTCTATTTCTCTCACTCTCTCTACCTATTCCTCACAAGTTGGAATGCAGGACGGATCCCGCGTGGTGGCACTAGATCTGGCGAGGGCTGGGTCTTAAGATGGCCTGAGCAGTGATCCAACATGGGAGGTATACATGGCGGCGATAGCCACAAATGAGATCCAGTGTGGATGGGCTCAGCGATGGCGGCAGGGGCAGTGTCGTGCTTGACCGCATGGCTATATTTTTGTTTTTATTTTTATAGATTATAGTAGAGGCGGGCATTGATGACCGTCTTCGTAGTTCTCCATCAACATTGACCCAATACCAAAGGCAGGCGTGGAGGCCACCACCTCTGGAAACATGTTTTGTCCAGTCTCTGAAAAGCTTGAACATAATACTATAGTAGTGTTTTATGTGTATATATCTACAGGCTTAGAATATAGGGGTATTTTTTTTATAATAACGACCGGATTGCTCATCATATGAATGTTGTTTGGAGCTAGTATGGATGATTGACAAATAAATGTGCAAACGTTTAATGAATTTACACTAGTATTATTAATTGTTTGAGTGGTGACTGACCGGTGATGATGACGTATACGCATCCATGAAATGAACAAGAAGCAAAGGCACATTCACGTATGGGCCTTGCCATGTGAGCCCTGCACAAGCCCTGTCTCGTCTTGGCTAGCTGGGCACACACCCGTACGCAGGCAGATGTCCACAGATGGATCATTGACGCGCGCCCAGCATCCAGACCAGCAGGCAGCAGCACGCGTACTGTAGGTATTTACCCTCTTCTCCTTTTGCGGCTGCCGTCGCTGGGCCCGTTGGGTCTCGCCGTCTCCGTGCTTGCTCTTCACCGCCGTGGGGCCAGCTACCTCCACCGCCCGGCACGCGCGCACTGCTGGTACACGCGTACGCCTGGCAAGCACATGTACGTACGCGCATGGATCGGATGGGGGAGGAAGAAAAACACCGGCGCGGCCGACGCATGAGCTCCGATCCGCACCGGCCGGCCGGTGAAACGGAGCAATCAGAGCTACAAGAGAGAAGATTCTCGTGGCTGGCTGGAAGATGGTCACGGTGTGGACGTGTGTGGTGGTGTCGTCTGTGTCACACACATACTCACATGCTCACACACACACACACATATATAGTTTGACGAAGGAGCTCATCTAGCTTGGAGGAGTTAGTGAGATAGGTACCTCCCGGCCCGTGCAAGGCTGCAACTAGCTACTAGTGCGGCCTAGCTAGGAGCAGTGTATACCAGCTCGCAAGTTTTGAATGGGAGATAAGTAGTCATGGTGGAAGTAATGCATGAGATCCTAATGCATGTATATATACATGACATGGTGCATGATTTGGTGAATTTTTTACCTGGTGTGCTGGGCGGTTGGGCAAAGGTTCAGAGAGGAGACGATTTCTCCTTTTAGAGAATTAATTAAGGGGCGGGAGATAGCATTGAACATATATACATACATGTATGTATCTTTATATATACCGGCCGGTTGACTCAACTGTTTTCAGAGACTGAACAGATTTCATTCTGCATACGTATATAGCATCTAAAAGAGCAGCTAGCATTATATTCTCTTGCATACCCCTGGTGATATAAAGTGCATGCTACTAGTGCTCGGAACCGAATAGCCTTTGTTTCCGAAGAGTAGCATTGCACACCCACATTGGATCCTGCATCCAAAAGATCTGCATACATCACACCTGCGCTTGCTCTCACCGTCTACCTTTATTTATAAAGATGGAGCAGCTAGAGATTGGATCATCATAAACTGATGGACGGATGGATAGATTGTTCCTCGTTGTGACTTGTGACAAGAAATAACCTGCTGCCTAGTAGATATAGGTAAGGCGTCCAATCAGGCTTGATGCGCTTGTCGATGAATTGAGATGACGGGACGCATGGCTGGGCTGTTACGTACGTTTCTCACGAGATTCGCAAATCGTAAAGCAAGAAGAAAGTTGCTTGGGATAATTAATGAAACCAGGCGTGTTCAATTCAGCTGGAGTATTCAATCAGTACTCGCGGATTGTTTCGTATGCATCTTCGCTTATTAGTTTCTAAGATAGAGATGTTTCCCATACAGGTTCATATATGTCCCCGAAACTAGAATTCCAAGATATCCCATGTTTTTCTCTTAGAATTCCTTATATATGTTCACTACTAGTTGGAACTCCTAGTGCCTAGCAAGACATGTTCGCGAGCAGTCATAACTTTTTTTTTTGAATCGTTGGCAGGATTTATGCTAGGAAAATATATTAATAGAGGAGACAAAATTATCGAAGTACAAACAAAAATAACGTAACTACAATAGAGGTCAAATTCCGGGATTAAAACAATTTTTTTTTTTTGCTATTTTTTGGTCTATTTTTGGGATTTTTGGAAATCCTAATCACCGCCGGTTGGTAAGACGAGCCGATGGTGATAACCTATTATCACCACTGGTTGCAAATCGACGAAACCGTCGATAATTTATAGCTCGAGGCCCAAAACTGGCTGTGATGGAGATTATGAACCGGCTGTTACAGGTCTACTTAGTAGTGTTAGAAAATTAGGAGCAGCTGCACGCCCCTCAATAGCTGAGATCATAAGACGCGCGTCTTTTTTCAGTCAAGGTGACTGGTGAAGCGTGTCACATATCGCTCGCATCACGTTGTTCTCAGCATGGTACGAACTCGATCAGAATATACTACTAGAGTACTACATCTGTCCCTAAAACAATACAATTCTAGCACAGTATATCAAGTTTTACTACCTTAAGTTTGACCAATTATAGATAAGAAAATATCCATGTTTACAGTACCAAATAAATACCATCAGATTAATTACGAAATGTATTTTCATAATAAATTAATTTAAAGCTATCACTACCAGATTCTGCGTAGCTCCCTAGTGTCATAAACACTCGGGAACAAGCAGAAAACACTCGGGATAGACTTTCCCGAGAGTAGGCACTCGGCGAAGGACACTCGATGGCGTCAAGTTGGGAAACTAAAGGTTTCGTCAAGTTGGGAAACTAAAGGTTTCCCGAGTGTCTTGACCGTAACACTCGGTGGATTAAAAGATTCCCGTGTGTTTTCACGGACACTCTGGGAGACATAGAGCACACGGGATTGAAACATGCTAACGGCTCCGTCCCACGACAATGGAGTAATTCCACAAATGCCTAACACTCGGCATCGTTTTTATCTATTACCAAGTGCTTGTAGATTGTAGACACTCGGGATAGATAAGGTTTCCCGAGTGCTTGTAGATTGTAGACACTCGGGAGAGATACGGTTTAGGCTGCTACCATACTGTTACACGTGGACTATTTTTTTTGTTATTAATTCCACTCAGTAACTGCCCCACTGGCTTCAACATGGTTTCGATCCATATGCACTCACATGCACTTCATAAATTAAAATATGGAAACATATAACATATCAGGCTACATTCACAATTTCCACATGCCATTGTTCAAAGCACACTCAATGATCACATGTGCTACAATTTGAGAAGTCACAAAATAGTCATCCACTCCCTAACGAGCAGTTCTACATGTTTAGATTCCCCAAAAGGGCTAACATGATCAGATCAACAAAAGTCACAAGTTCTAATGGTTTACAATAGGGCACGACAAGTTCACCTCAAGTTTGACAACGACACTAAGTTTACCATAGAAATGTAAGATCACAATAGATTGGCCTAATGGATCGGCATAGATTTGTCTATGAGATCCATTGTTAGCATGTTCCCCTTCTCCAGCCTCTCTAGCAGTACCAGTTCCTGCAGCACCTATGTTTGAGCCTCCAGTTTCTCTAGTACCCTTCATTTTTAAAAGCAAGTGAGATTTCTAAAGTTTAAAGTGGCAATCAAGTGATTCGAAATGTACTAACCTGATGAGATGATCCAGTTTGTGATGGAATTACCAGTGGAGGTACTGGAACATTCAGATGTGTTTGGATAATCTACACACAAAAAATTATAAATAAAGATATAAGATACACTAGCATATGAATTGTGAAAACTAACATATATTGAGTTGAACCTGCATTGTACTCAGTGTTCACTAATTTAAATATGATGATTTGTTGTAAAGTTTTTACCCCGTTTGTCTTAGTAACACTACTGGAAACAGAGACTTTGCCGAGTGTCAAAAATCGGGCACTCGGCAAAGACCTTCTATGCCGAGTGCTGCACTCGGCAAAGAATTGCACTCGGCAAAGATTTCTTTGCCGAGTGCCGGAAACTCGGCAAACACGGGCACTCGGCAAAGGACTTCTTCGCCGAGTGCCAGACCCTCGTCAAAATCTCTACACTCGGCATGGCTGCCCGTGAAACGGCGTCTGTCATCACGACCTTCTTTGCGGCGCTGCGATTAGGCACTCGGCAAAGATTTGTTTTTTTTGTTTTTAATTTCTTTGCGAGTGCCCCGGATCGCACTTTTCGGCAAAGATGTAATTTTTTAAAAAATTCTTGGCGTCTCGATCTGGCGCTCGGCAAAAATTTTTTTATTTTTAAAATACTTTGCCGAGTGCCCCAGACGGCACTCGGCAAAGATTTAATTTTTATTATTTCTTTGCGAGTGCTCCGTGTGGATGCACTTTCGGCAAAAAAAATTTAAAAAAATTAAAACATTCTTTGCCGAGTGTGCACGATGGTGGCATTCGTCAAAGAAAACACTCTTAAGTGCCATGCCCGGCGCTAAGCAAAGATTTTTTGTTTTTTTGCCTCCAATTTTTTTGTGCAGCCTTTTTTAAAGCACCAGAAACTCCTAGTTACAATTTGGGGATTTTTGTGGCTTTTTGTTATATTTAGTTACTTTATTTACGTTTACTTGAATTTTTTGAAAATTAGAAATTTGAACTGCATTAGTACGAATAATGGAGTTTAATGATTCGAAAATTGATAGTCATGTTAGTGAGTGTTGTGAGAGGCCGTATCCAGATAGGACCTGAAATTTGGACATCTT